TTATTATTATTATTATTATTATAATTATTATTATTATTATTATTAATATTAATATTATAAAATAATAATAATAATAATAATAATAATAATAATAATAATAATAATAATAATAATGGGGAAAAAAGAATTTAATTGGTTTCAAAATTCTGAAAGAGATTTCTGACCATCTACTGTAGAGGTACAGCAAATCAGTCCCAAACATGGAAGGGATAAGTTAGTCTGGATGGTACTTCTGTAAAATTCTCGGGGTCCTGCTCTATTTTGCATTGCCCTATACTGGTAATCATCAGGAACTAAAGCAAAGTACTGTACAGATAAGAATCTAAGAATCTCCATACCTTCTTATCTGAATTAATATGCTCCATTTCTCAGGATCTGTTCCCTGTAAAAATTTGTATTTGAAGTTTCTTCAGCCAATTGAACTTTTGAAAAATGTCTGTAAAAACCTTTGGAAATGCGACTTTACAGTACAATATAAGCCTAAAACTTAAAACTGAAGGAAAATTTTGAATGTTAAATTGATTCAAAATAGAATTGCTACTGAATGGGAAATAGCTTCCATAAGCTCAGGAAAACGTCAGGTGCTACATTCTGTATCAATAGTGTATTAGTAGTGGAGATGTAGAAGAAAGTCCTTGATGATTACAAATTGCTTCTGGCAAACCATGGCCCTTGAGTACAAAATATTGATATTAAATGTTGTTTAATGTCATCGGGATGACTTCTCTATTCCAGTTGATATCATTATCATTATTTGATGACACAAGTCACTCATGTACAGTACTGAGAAACTGATGTCTTTATAATTTACCTTCATTACATTGATATTAAACATTCTTGAGCCCTAAAGTATGAGTTATCAATTCTTCAGCGTCAGTAAGAATAATGTCAGTTTTGAATACTATACCAGAATACTGTAATTATATAGACAAATCTGAGTTTATTTTCAGATAAACTTTAACAGCCAGAATGGACAGTCCATATAGAACTGTACATTATAATGCTTATAAATCTTAGTGAAGTATATCAGTACTATTTGGCATGATACACTACCAATAGTATTAAAAACCATAATTGTTAATTTACAATGAATATATTTTTCCATTAATGACTTCTAGTATATTATTATTATTATTATTATTATTATTATTATTATTATTATTATTATTATTATTAATATTTTGCTACAGTATTTTTGTTCTAGATCTCTTTGCCTGGTTTGTGTGCTTAGCAACCATAACAGTATAATTTCTCTGTTGTGCCTGAGTTTTATTTTTTGACATAATAATTTTAGAGGACAGATATTTTTACTATGTTTTCTGAAAAACAAAGTAAGTTGATTATCAAGCCACCTGACAGACCTACTGTAAAATGTAGAAAATTTAGGGTTAGGTTCATAAGGTAAAAATAAATTATGTATTAACTTGTGAAGTAAAGCTAGGCCAATTGGGTTGTTCTATTTACATGAGTGATGCAACAACAATATTCAAGTAGCATACTGTACACTACCAATGAGGAAATAAATTTTAAATATATAATTTGCTTACAAAAAATAAATAAATAAAAGGTTAAATATCAGCAGCGATCTAGTGGAACTAGGCCAATTGAATTAGGCCAACTGATGAATGCATGTGGTGTACTGTTTAACAATGTCGGTTACTGTAACTATGGAGGTTTGTAACATACGTACTGTACTGTAGGCCTCATTAGGCAAAAGTACAGGTCTAGAGTAGCTTTGAAATTGGAAAGGTTGTCTAAAAACCTTTGCTTCTGATATATACTGTAGACAATGGCAAAAATAGGTCATAACACAATATTTCATTTATTGTGAATATTCTGCAAGTTCTCTTTTGATGTACCTGTACTGTATGCCTACAGTACAGTATATAGTACATCGCCAGTTAATCAAGATTGCGCAATTATTGGATGCGTGTCTCATGAAAAGCCTGTTTCACTTGCTTGTCCCCAAATTTGTAATTTCCTAGATTTCTATTTTTGTTGTTCATTAGCATTAGCTTATAAGCCTAATTTTTCAAAATGACCTTACTCGCACCTCGCAATAAAATTAAATTCTCTTTAGCCTATAACATTCCTTACCTCAAATTTTATAATACTTCATTTATTAGTTTTAGCACAGTCCTGCTTCAAACAAACAGACAGGCAGACAGACAGCCTGATAGACAGACAGACAGCCCGATAGACAGACAGACAGATATAACCTTAGAGGTTATTCAAATTTAAATCATTACTTTCACTCTTGTGGGGAAGAATGAGATTGTCACAGAAAACAGTGTTTGTGCTGTCATAAATATGATAAAATAGATGACCCTATTAATCTAGTATCAGAAAGTCCATCAAGAGTGGTGGAGGATCCAGGGCAAGTGTTCCCTTCCCCTTGAATCCCCCTATGGGCAGACCTGTTATTGATATAGTAAGAGGGAAGCAAGTTTTAATGTTATTATTTGTTTTAGGGCCAAAACCAAGGATAATTAATATGACCAAGTAGCCACTGCATTCTCTACTGTAATTATTCAGGAATAATAATAATAATAATAACATTTATAAAGCGATGGGTAAGCTCGGTAAGCCGACCCCAGAGTGCATACAATCAATCGTATTTAAACAAATACAATAGAGTTACATAACATAATAATATAACAGAAATTCATCTTGCTGTACAATGTACAATAGTCTAAAAAACATACAGAATTTATCATTCAATACAAAATAATTCACCAGAAATATTTCAAGTTAAAATAATCACAATTTTTACAATTAATTATTTAATTTAGTGTATATACATTAATTAATTACAAAAATGTATTAATACAAAAATATTGTAAATTGGAGTCTTTTAAAGACAATATAGAAAAGACAAGTATTAACAATATTAATCAAAAAATTACGAAGTGACAACAGTTAACAGAACATGCCAAGCGTTTCTGATGCATTAATCTCAAATCGATGGTTGTGACGATCACTGCAACCCCACAAAGACGCAGCCTTAATGTGGATTAAAAGAACAATTCATGTAAAAACCTTTATTTTTTTGTATGTATATAATTCAGGATTTGGATTCTTAAGGATGATTACAGTGCAGTTCCTGAAACTAATGTTTCTACACATAGTCATGTATTTTTTTAAAAGGTATTGTTTTTGTTATAATGTATTCATAATTATCAGCTTGATAATTCATGAAAAATCTATTATAGGATCATTGAGGTAGGTATCTGCAATGTGAGGATTAGTTTGAATTGGATGATCTTCAATCCTTGTTAGTAAAAAAAAATCAGACTCCTGGTAAAGCTAACATGCATTGACTGTGCACAAGCATTTTAGCACAAGTTAATAGAATATGACAGTTTTTTTTAGGAGACAATTCAGGATTTGTTTGTTTCTAGTGAGTGCTCCTACCTTGAATTTCAGCAGTCATCTGA